GTTAAAAACACAATGCCATTTAGAAATGCCCCAAAAGAAATAAAACACTTATGTAGACTGTTAAAAAAATTACAGATTCAGAATACATGCACTGAAAATTATAAAACATTGATGAAAGAAATTAAAGAAGACCTAAATAACCAGAGAGAGAGAACCTGCCATCACGGACTGGAAGACTCAACACAGTCGAACTGTTAATTCTCCCCAAACTCATCTCTACGTTTAAAGAAATTCCTATCAAAAGCCCAGCAAGGTTTTTGTAACCATAAACAAGCTATTCTGAAACTCACATGGAAAGGCCCAGAACGTACAACAGATAACACATTTTTTATAAAGAAGAATAAAGTGAGAGGAAGTCACTCCACCTGATTAAAGTATACTATGCAACTACGGTAATCAAGACAGCCTGCTGCTGGCTGAGGAACAGGCATATAGATTAATGGAACAGAATAGAGAACCCAGAAATTGACCCACAGCAACAAGTGGAAGCCATTTTTAATGGAGGTGCAAAAGCAATTTAGTGGAAGAAGGATCATCTTTTCAACAGTCACAGAGCAACTGGACATTCACTGGCAAAACCCAAAGCGAACCAAATAACCCTCAACCTAAATCTCACAGCTCATATAAAAATTAACTCAAAATGGAAAATAGACTTAAGTGTAAAATGTGAAACTATAAAATTTGTAGGAAAAAAGGGAGAAAATCTTGAGGACTTCCCCCAGGCTAGGTGAAGAGTTAGACTTCATTCCAAAACTCAAAATGCAAAAAAGGTAAAATAAATAAACTTGAATTCATCAAAATGTAAAACTTTCTGCAAAAGACTCTGTAAAGAAGATGAAAGAACAAGATAAACTGGTAGGAAATAGTCGCAGAGTGGTAGGGCCAGTATCTAGAAGATACAAAGAATGATGAAAACTCAATTGTTAAAACCAAACAATCCAATTAAAAAATGGGCAAAAGACATGAACAGACTTTTCACTGAGGAGGACACACAGATGGCCATAAGTACATAAAAAGGTCTTGATGTCATTACCCATCAGGGCAATGCAAATTAAACCATCAGGAAATATCACTACACATGTATTAGAACAGCTAAAGTAATAAAAACAAAAATAGTGGCAATACCAAATGCCGCCCAGGCTGGGAAGGTCCTGGATCACTCACATACCACTGGCAAAAACACAAAATGGTGCAGCCATTCTGGAAAAGAGTTAGCAGTTTCTTATAAAATTAGACATGTGCTAACCATATGACTCAGCCATTGCAGTCCTGGGCACGTATCCCAGAGAAACGAAAACTGTGTTCACACAAAAACCTGTACGTGAATGTTCACAGCAGCCCTATTTGCAATAACCAAAAGCTGGAAATAATCCAAGTGCCCTTCCTGGGTGAAGAGTTGAACACACGGTGGACATCACTGAGCAATTAAAAAGAAACACCTATGGACATGCTCACCGACCTGGATGCGTCTCGGGGGAACTGCCTTTAGTGGGAAAAGTCTGTCTCAAAAGGCTGCATAATGTAGGATTCCATTTACAGAGCATTGTTAAAATGACAAAATTATAGAAAAGGGGAAGCCTCCTGTGGTTGCCAGGCTCAGGGAGGGGAAGGAGGAAGTGGGCTTGGCTCTAAGGGGAGCATCAAGGATCCTGTGATGAAACTGTCCTGTCCCCTGATGTGTTGGTGCTTACACGGTTATACACGGGTGATAAAATTACACACAACTAAGTGCACACGCGCACACACACACACACAGTGAGTACGTGTTAACTGGTGGCATCTGAAATGTCAACAGGGTTAACGGGTTGTACCAATGTTAATTTTCTGGCTGCGGCATTGTACTATGGTTTCGTAAGATGCTACTGTCGGGGAAACCAGTGAAGGGAATTGCCTGCGAATCTGTAATTATCTCAAAACAGAGTTTTAAAAAATTGCTTCAGTGAATATCCATTGTGTGTGTCTCATGCACACAGAACTTGTTTTCCCTAGAAGTGAAATTGTTAGATCTTACGATATACCCATCTTCAGTTTTTCTAGATTATTCTGTAACATCTTCGTTCCTTATATTCCACTCAAACTCACGTGAGGTCTAATTTTTCTACTCCTTCTCCACTACTTGGTATAGTCACAATTGAATTTTTTTTCCAGTACAAGAAATGTAAAAAAAAAAAAAAATAAAACTTTTGCCATTTTAATTTCGAATTCCCTGACTCCCAGAGGGTTAAAGTTCTTGTCGAATTTTATTGGTCCATCTGGGTTTTCTCTTCAGGCTCATATTCTGCTCTTAAATGGCTTGTTTCAAATTACTGAATTTTCAAACTTTTTATGTATTCCAAATCCTAGCCTCACATAGGTCTGCTTCTCCTCATCTTTTGCAATCCACCTGTTTTTCACAATGGTGACTCAGACCAATGCGGTGCTGTTCACAGATCCCAGAACAAAAGAACATTCAGGATGACTTTTCTGTGCTCTAATGGCCACTGAGTCTGAGACATTGCCAATAGCGTGGGAACACGCACTCACAGTTGTCGCTGGTACTGCGGAAGCTGTTGCTGTGGAGGGCAGCTTCAGCACCCACCCGAGAGATCAGCTGCCCTGCGGGTCGGCCTGTCCACCGAACGTCCCACAAACCTGGCCAGCCTACCTCTGCATACACAATTCCTTCAGGACTCTAATATGTTTCTCCATTGCCTCCTGTTTCTCTGGAGGAAGCCTGCTCACTACAGGTTTTGACAGATGTAAAATCTCTGGAGACTATTCTAGTGGCTCACCTGGCATCAGGGCCTGTGCCGTGAGCACTCACTCCTCCCTTACACAGCTCGGGGGCTTCCTCCAGGGGCTCCAATGGGCCAGCCAAGCGTCTTCCTGCTTAACGGCCATTTATTTAAAGTTATCCCAAGAGTAATTAGAGGCTGGCGTGGTGGCTCACGCTTGTAATCCCAGCACTCTGGGAAGTCAAGGTGGGCAGACCACTTGAGGTCAGGAGTTTGAGACAAGCCTGGCCAACATGGTGAGACCCTGTCTCTACTAAACAAAAAGACAACAAAAAATACAAAAATTAGCCAGGTGTGGTGGTACACACCTGTAGTCCCAGCTCCTCAGGAAGCTGAGGCAGGAAAATCACCTGGACCTGGGAGGTGGAGGCTGCAGTGAGCTGAGACTGCACCACTGCACTCCAGCCTGGGCGACAGAGCAAGACTCTGTCCAAAAAAAAAAAAAAAAAAAAAAAAAAAGAGTGATTAGTAACTAGAATACTTTCTTTTTTACTGGCAACTAAGAACGCTAAGGAGAGGATGATGAACAAAGAGGGATGACAGGAGCCTTTTGGTCAAATGATTCTCGAAAGAAAACATCTCTGGGTGCACATCACTCATAATCAGGGGTGGAAGTTTAAAATGAGGGATGAGGAGCACCTTTGCACGCCATCCTGTTCACCATGGTGGGGCAGCGCAGCAGTGAGGAGCCGCTGCAGACTCCCCGGACAGAATCCTGCCTCTTCCTGGGCGCCCTTAGAGTAACTTAACCTCTCTGGGCCTTGTTTCTTCATCAGTCAAAATGAAGATATGAAAAGCACAGTAACCACCAATGAGGGCATCTAGGGCCATCACAACTGTTAACTGAGGTGACAAACAGCTCTCAGAAGAGAGCCTGGCAATGTGCGAGTGCTCGATAAGCACTCCCTGGGGATAGAAAAGGCACAGAGGCAGCTGCTAATCTTAAGCATGTCTTTTTTTTTGAGACAGAATTTTGCTCTTGTTGCACAGGCTGGAGCGTAACGGCATGGTCTCGGCTCACTGCAACCTCCACCTCCCAAGTTCGAGAGATTCTCCTGTCTCGGCCTCCCAAGTCGCTGGGATTAAGGCACCTGCCACCGCGCCCAGATAATTTTTTGTATTTTTAGTACAGCATGTTGTATTTTTAAAGGACTTGGAGATAAAAGTCAAACAAAATAACTTACAATTAACATTTACAAGTTCAGGCGGAAATAAAAACATCACAAGAGAGGCTGGTTTCTTTTTTCCCGCAGCGTTTGGTGCCCACAGCCGGGACCGAGACTGACCACACTCAAAGCGGACGTTTCAAATCATGCCATGAGCTACCAGATCTAAATCAAGGGACGCATGTTACACTTCCTTATCTCTGGGCAGAATTGTGATACTTCTGGAGAGTTTTCAAAGATTAGAACAGAATGGCTTTGTTTAACCCGGAGTTAACAGAGGTGGTTGTTTCAGAACAGTTAAATCCCTGAGACTTATTCCGGCATTTACAACCATTTTTAGCTGGATTCTTTTTCCCCAGGTTTCTGTTTATCCCATTCGGAAAAAAAAAAAAAAAAAAAAAAAAAAAACCTCTGGCGTGGTGCCCTTTCCCTTGGCTGGTGGGAGCACCCCTTCCTGGCTGCCCGCCTGGTTTCAGGTCATGGCCTTCCTTCCTCTACTGAAGGGCAGCTGGTTCCAGGCTCTCGGCCGTATCCACCGCCCGGGGTCCAACCGCTAAGGAGGCGCCCATCGCTGGAGGTGGCCGCCAGGGAGCTCAGTGCAGGACCCTGCTCCATCCGTGTGGTCCCTGACTTTGGCGTGACCGTCCTTAACCCGTCCCCCGGAGCTTCGCCAGATAAAATGTCCAAAACGCACACTGGCTGTTCCCTGACCTTTCCTTCCTCTGAAAAGCTCTTTTTCCAGGCGGGGCGTTCTGTGCTCAAGATGAGGCAGAGACCTCCCTGGAACGAAGTCCACGCCCTCCCAGAGCCGGGCGAGCCACGCGCCCCTCACCCACCCGCAGAGAAGCCGAGCACTTGTTGATTCTCACGTTATTGCAATCGGAAAACGGAACGAGGGACCAGAACGCGCCGGTTTCCAGGCAGAGACGCACGGGGATCCCTAAAGACACTCGAACCCTTTCTCGAGCGCCACTCCACCTCCCGAAACAGGGGGTTCAGGCGGACGCGAAAGGGTACAGGCGCTGCCCCCGGCGCCCGGAAAGACCTAGGGTGGCGGCAAATGGCCGCGCGCGGGTCACACACGCCGGCCTCGGGGGGACCCCGCACCCCACGCCCTCAGGACAGGCCGTCCCGCCCGGGAGGAGCAGCCGGGGAGACCCGGGCCCCGCGGGCCCAGCGCTCAGCGCGGCGAGGTAGTGCGGGCAGCTGCGGGCGCGCACGTGGGCCCAGGTGGGCGCAAAGACTGGCCGGCCGAGGAGCCCGAGAGAGGCCCCGAGAAGGCGGAAGCCCGGACCCAGGCTCTGGCCGCCGCCCTCGGAGTTCACAGGGAAACTGCGCTTCACCTCTGGGGGAGCGGCAGGGGCGTGACGGCGCGCGGGGCCCCCGGGGCGTGATTGGCAGGCCCGGGGAGGACCCTCTCCGCACCCGCGCTGAGTGGCCGCTTCTGATCACCGTCCCTCCCACCCTAGACTCCTCCCCTCAGCCCCGGGGCCCGAGGCCGAGCGGTTTCTGCGACCCCCGGACGCCGGGCCTGGCTGGAGACCACCCTGGACACGTGTCAGGGGCCGGCCCTGGCGCAGTAAACCCGAGTCGACACCCGCGCCCACCCCCTCGCAGTAGAGATCGGGGACAGGGCCGTGGGTTCGGGTCAGGGGCCCCCGGCTGCCACCTGCCCGGCCACCTGCGCTGCTCCCCAGGTTCCCCCTGCGCGTTCTCGGCCGAGAAAGAGACTCGGAGTCCGGGCGCCGGGACGGCTCCTGTTCCCGACCCTCCGTCCACGGCTCCCGCGGGGCTCGGCCCCGGGGTCCCGCCCAGGTCTCCGCGGTCCCCGCTAGGAGGGGCGCGGAGACAAAGGCGCCAGAGCCGCCCCCACTGGCCCCCGAGGGTCACTCACCGGCGCTGCGCTCGCTGCTCCGAGACCGAGGGGTGCCGCGGGGTCCCAGGCCCGGGCGAGCAGGTCCCGGCTTCAAGCGCCGGCTCGCGGGGTCCCCGGACAGCCTGCACCGCCTTCCGGGGTCGGGAGCCCGAGGCCGCCGGGGCTGGAGGCGGCTTCTCGCGGGCGCGCGGCGGCGGAGACTGAAGGCGGCTCCGAGGGACGGGCGCGCACCCCGCTCCCGGCCCCGCCTCCCCGGGCTTCCTGCGCGCCAGGTAAACACAGGCCCAGCCCGCCGGGCTCGCCCCACCTGACGCGGCCGCCCCGGGAGCTCTGAGGACCCCGGGCCCGCTTTGCCCACGCGGAGTTCGGGGGGGCGCACGGGATCCACGCGCGGGGTCGGGCCTCGGAGAAGGGGCGGCCTGGAGCCTCACCCGAGACCCTTCCTCGGTGGCTCGGCCTGGGAACTCGCCCCGACCCCGACCTCGACCTCGCGGGAGGGGACCGAGGCCGCCTCTCCCCGTGTCCTCAGGGGCTGGAAACCCCAGAAGCTGCGGAAGGACTTGGCGCGGCGGGAGGAGGGTCAGCCCGCCCTGGAGGCGGGGGGAGCGGGCAGGTCCTCCCGGGCGCGCCCTCCCTCCCCTGCAGCCCCGCCCAGGCCCACGTGCGGCCGGCAGGTGCTCCGCGCGGCCCTGGGAGCGCACCTTCGCCTGCAGGAGGGGCGCAGGAAGTCCGCGCGGAAAACACAGCCAAACGCGCCACGTGCGAGGAAGCCGCCTGGGCCCGCAGCGGGGAGGCGGCGTGGTCTTCGTCACTCTCCCGTTAAACAGAAAAAGCCTGCTGTCGGGACGTGACTCACCTGCACACAGATTTAGTGGTCAGAGAGATCTTTCGCTGGATTCTCGGTCTCCTGATGGTGGAAGAGGGGGAGGTGGGGGAGTCCCCGAATGAGCCCCCGCGTTCCTCCTGACCTGCACCCCCAGTCAGGGATGTGGACCGGGGGCTTCCGGAGGCAACCTGGGACCCACACAGTTTGTCAGGAGGTGAGGGAGAGGGCTGAGCGCTGTCCTGGCCCGCGCTGGGAGGCGGCTTCAGCGTGGGGTCGGGGTTGCGGCCTAAAACCATCCCTGGAAGTCCCGGAAGATTTAGCAACTGTGTTCAAATGCTGGTAACTGAAGAGAAATATTTAGACGATGATACAAAAGCATTTAGTCTGGGCCTTTCCTCAGGAGAGATTTTTCAAGTGGAGAGGGCAGGAGGGTTCCGGGAATTTGAGGCTGAAGGTGAGAAGGGGCGGGGAAAAGGGTGCCAGAGATAAAGTGTGCTTCTCCGATGTTTCTGCCCCACAACCTCACTTTAAGTCAAGGATGAGCGAGTGGGTGTGGGAGGCGGGACAGCTGCCCTAGGAGCACGGACGGTGACAGCGAACGCAGGTGCACCCCAGCTCAAGTCACTAAAGCCCAGGCCGAGAAGCTGGAACACTGGGCCCTATTTTGGATACCTGTTTTAACATCAGAAACGGCTTTTCTTCCCCAAAATATCCCTTGGCTTTATCTCCGTGACTCCACAGGGCGGGCCACCTTCCTGCCTGCAGATGTCCCTGCAGCTGGGCTCTGGGCTCAGGAGCGTCCCTCAGACCACAGTGACAGCGGCAGCACGCGACCTTCTGTTCTGCGCTCCTTCTGCTGGGGTTTCAGCGGTTTCCTGAAGCATTACATATGCCAACGGTCAGCCCTGCAAACGGCAGGCTCCACACGTTCCAGTTAAAAGTCTTTTTAAAGTAGGTATAAAACTGCACCGTGCATATTTTGTTGGGATAGAGTGTCCACGCAGATGGGCAGCCCGGCAGTTTTAAAAACTCATGAGTCTTCAGAGAAGTACTATTGTATGTAATGAAACAATGGATCCACGTTTGGATCAATAGGGCCTGTCTCGGGGGCTTTCCTGCCCTCCTGGTTAGCAAAAGGACCCCAAGTGGAGGACAGTGGATGGAAGAAACAGAGGTTGGCATTTCACCATGGAGAGACAAACTTTCACATGACGATGTCTGTGCAGCCCTCGGCAAAGTACAGAGATTCGTTGTGCTGAATAAAATAGGAAGGCATCTCTGACAAGTGACGCATCAAAGCCTCCTTGTGTCTTTGACGTTTCTAAGAAAATCACATTGTAGTTACCCCCATGTTTCACAAGGTACCAGAGAGCAGAAAGTTTGACCTATCTAGCATCTCATACGGCAGCAAATAGCAAACTGTTTTGTGCATGAAATACACTCAATAAATGTTTGTTGAGTTAAACTCCATATTACCCAAGCTAAAGGAAGTAAAATGAATCTAAATAGTTTCCAACAGACTTCAGACTGCAGGAACTTTGCCTTTCTTTAGTTTCCTCATCAACAGATTGGTCTTTGTTACAACGTTTTGCTTAGGAACTGAACTTTTTTTTTTTTTTTTTTTTTTTTTTTTTTTTTTTTTTTTTTTAAACACAGTCTCTCCCTCTGTCGCCCAGGCTGGAGTGCAATGGCGCAATCTCAGCTCACCACAACCTCTGCCTTCCGGGTTCAAGCAATTCTCCTGCCTCAACCTCCTGAGTAGCAGGGATTACAGGCACCCACCACCACGCCCAGCTAACTTTTGTATATTTAGTAGGGGTGGGGTTTTGCCATGTTGACCAGGCTATCCTCGAATTCCTGACCACAGGTGATCCGCCTGCCTCGGCCTCCCAAAATGCTGGGATTACAGGCATGAGCCATCACGCCTGACCAGGACTGAATGTTATTTTCAGACCTGATCTAAACCTCTCTGAGCCTCAGTTCCTTCATCGGTACTGGGGAGGTAATAGTCGTCCTTACATCAGGGCTGAACACTCTCTTTCTGCAGCCCAGGATCGGTGAATACCCAGGTGTTGAGGTCTCCCTTATTCACCCAGAGATTGATCAAAGTTGTTTCCAGACAAGCTGTATTTCAGAGGAATTCCGGCCTGGTTGTTCAGACATTCCACATATTCCCGCTGTTGCAGAAATACATGACTTAGCCAGTGGGGCTTCATTTCACTTGAGGGTGTATTTGTCAGCTGAGCTGCATAACAAAATACCACAGACTGGGTGGCTTAAACAGCAGACGTTATTCCAGTTCTGGAGTCTGGAAGTCTAAGACGAAGGTGCTGGCAGACTTGGCGTTGGGTGAGGGCTTGCTTGTTGGCTCATAAATGGTACCTTCTGTCTGTGTTGCTGGTGGAGGGAGAAAGAGGAAGAGGAGGAGTCTGGGCTCTGGCCTCTTTTCATTATAAAGACACTAATCCCATTATGAGGCCACCCTCACAGCTTCAATCCAAGCTGAACTGCCTTCCAAAGGCCCCATTCCAAATACCACTCCATGCGGGCTGGGGCTTTAACATAAATTTTTGGGGGACAGACTTGTAGTCCTTAGTAGAGGGTTAGATGAATACGTAGGGGAAAAGGGGAATAACTACTCAGCTTCCAGTCCAGTCAACAGAGTTCCCTGCGGGGGTGGTGGAACGGGTGCCAGCCTCCCAGGAGCTGGGAAGGAGCTGGATTAGGCAGTAATAGAGAGAGGGAGAGGAGAGCCTTAGCCAGGTCTGCTGGGTGGGTGGGGGTCGTGTGTGTGCTGGACTGTGTGATACATTTCACGTTCCTACAACAAGGTGATTAAATGTGACCTCTTAACAACCAGCCCCAGGAAGCAGCCTGAGAGGAAGGGAAGGTTGGTGGGAAGTCCAGAGCATGCCCAGTGTGCGTGGGAGCCATGGGAGACCTCAGAGGGATCCAGGCAAGGCTCTGAGGACAGAGCAGCCCTGTTGCAGGGGCAGGGTCAGAAGCCAGCTCTGAGGGAGGGAGACGGCCCTGGCGGGGCTCAGAGGCGGGGTGAGTGGGAACCAGGGGCCTGGGGCCTGGCTTCAAGGGCCTGCATTTCTACCTTGGCCTCCACCTCTGACCCAGAGCTGCCTCCACCTTGTCCATGATGTCTCGTTCTTCCCGCACCAGGCTTGCTTTCTCTGGAGTTTGTCCTCATAGGTGGAAAAACTGGGTTTCTACAGAGGAAGTTCACTGTTGAGGCTGAACTGTGTCCCCGAAGAGAGAGCTCCAAGTCCTGCCCGCCCAGTACCTGGGGACGTGACTGTGCTTGGAAATGGCCTTTGCTGGTATCGTCAGGCTGAGATGAGGTCCTTGGGGGGCTGCAGTGCACTGGCTGTGTCCTTGTAAGGAGAGGGGGCACTCAGAGGGAAGACGGCCATGTGAGAGGGAGGCAGAGGTGACAGCCATGCAGCCCCGAGCTGAGGGACGTGGAGGCAGCAGAAGCTGGGAGAGGCAAGGAGGGACCCTCCCCTGGACCCTGGCGGGAGCGCAGCCGGGGCCAAACCTGGATCCCACACTCCCGGCCTCCAGACTGAGAAGCGACATTTCTGTTGTGAAGCCTCCCAGAAGGTGACTTTCTGTTACAGCAGGGCCAGGCGACAGGAGCAGTCCCTCCAGGGAGAAAAGCGGGTGTCTGCACGTTCACTCTACAAAGACTTTAGGTAAAGTGGCAATCGAGCAACCCAGCCACGAAAGACACGAGGTGTGGGAGGAAGGTGAGCAGAGTGGACTCGGGAGGACCAGAGGGCAAGGCCCCGGGAGCCGCTGTGGGGAGTGAGGTCAAGGGTCAGAAGTCAGGGTCTCTGCCTGTCCCCGTCCATGGCCCCAACCACACAAATCTCCCCTCTGAAGCTGTGCCCAGGCAGCCCAGGGCAATACCCAGCCTCCTTCCTCCGCCCCCGTGCAGGCTCCTAGCACCCTCCAGGTTCACAAATCCTGGGGGACAGTCTCAGGCCACCCGGCAGGAGAGACTGGACCCACCCCGCGCTGCCTGTGCCTGGTTCTTCCTCCCAGAGCCGGAGCGGGTGTCATCTGCTGTTTCCTTCCCGGGAGACCTCGGCCCCAGTCTTGTCATTCAGGGCCTCGTGACTGTGTGCTACACTCCCGGCACACGCCTGGCACTTGGGGGCCCAGGGGCTGGTCACAGAGACGTTCAGACCCGTGGTCATCTTAAGGTCAGTTACAAAGACTGACAGCAATAGCAGTTTGCGGTGCCTGGAAAACCCAGAGGGTGGCCTGAAAGCCCTGCCCGGAAGTCAGGGAGACCCCGAGGAGTCTTTCGAGGTGTCCTGGGGCAGATGCCTGCTGGAGAGGGGCAGGAGGGATACTGAAGGTGTGCCAGGCAGAGGCACCAGCCAGCAAAGGCTCAGAAGCACGATGGGCTGAGGAGCCACGGGGAGTTCTGGAGGATAAAATGTGTGACAGAGAGAGACTGAATGCCAGAGAACATCATGGATGGAACAGGAGCTGGAGATAGCAGCTGGGGCCAGGCCGTTCTGGAGCGGACTCTGCCAGGGAGCTGCAGGGCTGCCCTGGAGGAAGGAGAGGTTTGAGGCCAAGGAGGGTGCTAATCAGAGGATGTGGGCAGGGGAGCATGTGGCCAGCTCTGGGGAAAGCAGAGAAGAGGGGTGGGAGAGATTCCAGCAGAGAAAGCGCTAGGGAAACGCGTAGTCACTAGTGAGGCCCAGGAGTGCTTCCCTCAGTCCCTGCACTGTTTCAGGAGCCGTGAAGTCCTCACAGGGAGCGGCCTTCGGAGGAGCTCAGGGATTCTCCCTTCTGCGGCAGGGTTGCCGGCTACACTGCGGGCTCCTCCAGGACAGGCATGGGGCCATCGCTCAGCTAATTCAAGCACTCAGAAGAGTGCCTGGCACGCAGGAGGCCCTCGATAGGTATTTGCTGAATTTGTTGCAAGAAAGGGCTAGAATTGGGCATGGGCAGCAGGCAGTGTGGCTGCACCCCAGACGCGGTCCCAAAAAAGGGTTAGGAGACTGAGCTCCCCCTGTTGGTCAATCCTGGTCGTATTTTTATGTCTCTTCCTGGGTAAAGCATTTCGTGTTTCTGTGACTTTGTTACTACGTAGCTCAAGTGAGACGGGGTTAGGTGATGATTTGACAGTTAGCAAATGGCATAAGCCTTGAGGACACAGTAACATTTTCAAGTGTGTTTTGTCATCACGAATTATGAGAGAATGACTTAGTATTTAAAGCTCTTGGCTTTTTACTGTATTATCTCTGAAAGTATCTGATGCTAACTGGTACAAGTGAAAGATGCCGGGATGCTTTTCAGTTATTCTTTATATTAATGTTTCTGGGAGTCAACATTTATATGTAACTGTTCTTATGGCAACCAAAGACAAAAATTTCAGAGATTCATCTGGGTTAGGAAAATAAATTTGCTATTTACAAAAGGATGTTTGCCACAAGTTATTAAAATAAATGCAAATTAACATACAGCCTCATTGAGCATGGATTATATGATATAATCAGTGATTTTAGCTTTTTTTTCTTTTTTGAGACAAAATCTCTGTCTTCCAGGCTGTAGTACAGTGGCGTGATCTCAGCTCACTGCAACCTCCACCTTCTGGGCTTAAGCAATTCTCGTACCTCAGCTCTGGAGTAGCTGGGGCTACAGGCCTGTGCTACATGCCTGGCTAATTTTTGTTTCTTTTTAGTAGAGATGGGGTTTCACCATGTTTTCCTGGCTGGTCTCAAACTCCTGACCTCAAGTGATCACTCACATTGGCCTCCAAAGTGCTGGGATTACAGACGTGAGCCACTGCGCTTGGCCAATTTTAACTTTATGGTGATATACTGTGTGGTCAGGTTTACATGAAGAAAAGCAGTCTACAGTACTCTAGTTTGCGTGTGTGTGTGTGTATGTGTGTGTGTGTGTTTTAATGTTAAGTTCTTCTATGACCCAGTATCCTAGGTCTGACATTGCAGTTCACCGAGAAGCCATGCCTCCCAGTCGGGATGGAGGTCCGTCTTTCCTGGCCCTGCCTCTCTGCCTTCTCTGAGCCAGCGTTCTTGCTGTCTCCAGAAATCATCTCCCTGACCGTCCAGGGCTCAAGCCCTGAACTTAGAAATTGTTGCAGATGCTTTGCACACCCACATGCCTAACCTGTGGACACGTCCCGTCACTCTGTCCCCCAGACTTCCCTGTTCACTGCATGTCCGTTCTTCACCTCGCCCAAGCTGCCCTGAGGCTCCCCAGGCTGCGGGGGCTGCTCCAGCCACAC